TGGGCGAGACAGCAAGACCCTATCTCAAAAAAAGAAATTAAAAATCACATTCAGTTTATACCTTCCCAGTCACTATTTGTGACTGTTTTCTTTAAAAATCCTGTAGTTTATTGACATTTCATTTTTTGATAGATTTGCAAATTCAAACTATTTCACTTCTGTAATTACATGAGCCAATTCCTTACACTAAATCTCGATAGATAGATGATATTGATAGATACAGATACAAACACAGATATAGATATAGATATCCTCCTGGTTTTGTTTCCCTGGAGAACCCCAACTAATACAGTGCATTATGCCATAAACAATTTTCTAAGTCGTTAAATATTCTTCTACAGCATTTTGTTTGCATAGTATCCATTATATAGGAATCCTCTCTTGTAAGAAGTTTAGATTGCTTTCATGTTTTATGTTACAGGTAATGCTGAAGTGAAAAACAAGTCTGCAATAGTATTTGATTCTCACTACCTTCCTTAATACTGGATGTTAATTTTTTAATCTGCCAAATTTGATTTTAAAAATGGATTTTTGGGCTGGGCGTGGTGGCTCACGCCTGTAGTCCCAGCACTTTGGGAGGCCGAGACAGGCGGATCATGAGGTTAGGAGATGGAGACCATCCTGGCTAAGGCAGTGAAACCCCGTCTCTACTAAAAATACAAAAATTAGCTGGGCATGGTGGCGGGCGCCTGTAGTCCCAGCTACTTGGGAGGCTGAGGCAGGAGAATGGCGTGAATCCAGGAGGCAGAACTTGTAGTGAGCCGAGATTGTGCCACTGCACTCCAGCCTGGGCGACAGAGTGAGACTCCATCTAAAAATAAAAATTAAAAAAAAGGACATTTTTGGCCGAGCATGGTGGCTCACGCCTGTAATCCCAGCACTTTGGGAGGCCAAGGTGGGCAGATCACGAGGTCAGGAGTTCGAGACCAGCCTGGCAAACACGGTGAAATCCTGTCTCCACTAAAAACACAAATATTAGCCAGGCATGCTGGCATGCGCCTGTAATCCCAGCTACTCAGGAGGCTGAGACAGGAGAATTGCTTGAACCCGGAAGGCAGAGGTTGCAGCGAGCAAATATCGTGCCACTGCACTCCAGCCTGGGTGACAGAGAGAGACTCCATCTCAAAAAAAAAAAAAAAAAAAGAATCTTATATTTTTAAATTTGTATTTTGTTGATTTACAATGAGGTTGAATGCTATGCTTATTGGCAATTTGTTTCTGTCCTTTGCTGGTTTTTTTTTCTGTTGGGGTGTGTGTTCTAGCTTACTGATTCATAGGAACTCTTTCTACTTTAAGGACATCAGTCCTTTGTATTCACTGGTACATTTTCCTGACTTTTGTAGTATTAACAGTTAAATGATTATCTTAAATTTGTTATAGTATATGTATATTGAAAATAATCATAACTATCTGGTAAATGTTAATTTAGGTTGTTTCTTTTTTTTTGAGACGGAGTCTCACTCTGTTGCTCAGACTGGAGTGCAAATGGCGCGATCTCAGCTCACTACAACCTCTGCTCCCTGGGTTCAAGCGATTCTTGTGCCTCAGCTTCCCAAGTAGCTGGGACTACAGGCGCCCGCCACCTCGCCCGGCTAGTTTTTTGTATTTTTTAGTAGGGACGGGGTTTCACCGTGTTAGCCAGGATGGTCTCGATCTCCTCACCTCGTGATCCACCCGTCTCGGCCTCCCAAAGTGCTGGGATTACAGGCTTGAGCCACCGCGCCCGGCCGGTTCTTTTCTTTTCTTTTTTCTTTTCTTTTCTCTTTTCTTTTCTTTTATTCTCTTCTCTTCTCTTCATTTTTGAGAGAGTCTCATCCACCCACATAGCTCACTGTGGCCTTGACCTCCCCAGGCTCAGGTGATCCTCCCACCTCAGCCTCTAGAGTAACTGGGACTACAGGCATGCCCCACCACATCTGGCTAATTTTTGTATTTTTTTTTTTTTTGGTAGAGACAGGGTTTCACCATGTTGCCCAAGCTGGTCTTGAACTCCTGGGATCAAATGATCCTCCTACCTCAGCACACCTCTACCTCTGCCTCTCAAAATGCTGGGATTACAGGCGTGACCCACTGCTCCCAGCATAATTTAGTTTAATGACTAAGTGCCAGTCATAATCAGTGGTGAAGACAGATATAAGAAACATAGTCAGAAGACAAACATTTAAAAATACAGGCTGGTGCAGCACGTCATGCCTGTAATCCCAGCACTTTGGGAGGCCTAGGTCAGAGGATTGCTTGAGCCCAGACTTGAACTCAAGCTTGAACTCATTTGAGTTTGAGACCAGCCCAGGCAACATAGCAAGACTTCATCTCTATATATAAAATAAAAGAAAAATAAAAATGTCAAATTAAAAAAAATAAAATAGGACCGGGCGCAGTGTCTCATACCTATAATGCCAGCACTTTGGGAAGTGGAGGCAGGTGGATCACCTGAGGTCAGGAGTTTGAGACCAACGTGGCCAATATGGTGAAACCCTGTCTCTACTAAAAACACAAAAATTTGGCAAGGCGTGGTGGCTCTCTCCTGTAATCCCAGCACTTTGGGAGGCCAAGGAGGGTGGATCACTTGAGGTCAGGAGTTCGGGACCAGCCTAGCCAACATGGTGAAACCTCGTCTCTACTAACAATACAAAAACTAGCCAGGTATGGTGGCACGCACTTGTAATCCCAGCTACTCGGGAAGCTGAAGCAGGAGAATTGTTTGAACTTGGGAGGTGGAGGTCGCAGTGAGCTGAGATCATGCCACTGCACTCCAGTCTGAGTGATAGAGCGAGACTCCATTTCAAAAAAATAAATAAATAAAAGGAGAAAAAGAAGAATGTCCCTTCTAATGGGCTACATGGCTTTTCCACTCAGAACTGAGCCTGTGAGATAAATGTATAATTAACCTAGCTTTTATTTATTTATTTTATTTTTATTTTTTTTGAGATGGAGTTTTGCTTTTGTAGCAAGCTAATTGGCTGTGCCTGGCCTGATAAATGCATGCTTTTACACTTAAGATTCAGTTATGTTTCAGGTTGTTAGCAACAGTAATCACTAACCTTTTAAAAGCTAGGTTAAGGCCCAGTGTGGTGGCTCTTGGCTGTAATCCCAACTTGCTATTTGTAATTGGCCTTCCATTGTACCCACTCCCACCCCAGTATCCAGGTATTAAATGACTCCCAGTAGAAAAAAAAGATTTCCTACCAAATACTTTATTAATGCTGTGATAACAACTATTAATATTTGAATTTCTTTTTCTTTTTTTCTTTTTTTGAAATGGAGTCTTCCTCTTGTTGCCCAGGCTAGAGTGCAATAGCATAATCTTGGCTCACTGCAACCTCTGCCTCCCGGGTTCAAGAGATTCTCCTGCCTCAGCCTCCCGAGTAGCTGGGATTACAGGCACCCTCCACCATGCCCGGTTAATTTTTGTATTTTTAGTAGAGACAGGGTTTTGCAATGTTGGCCAGACTGGTCTCAAACTCCTGACCTTGTGATCTGCCCGTCTCAGCTTCCCCAAAGTGCTGGGTTTAGAGGCGTGAGCCACCGCACCCAGTCTGAATTTCTTTTTTCTAACAGAAACAATGCTAGGAAATCTTTCTAGGTTTATACAACTCTCTCCACGTCCAAAGTTCTATATAACTGACCATAATGTTTCATTTCATTAAAAGTTAGTTTTAGGCCAGGTGCAGTGACTCACAACTGTAATCCCAACACTTTGGGAGGCAGATGCATGCGGATCACTTGATCCCAAGAATTCGAGACTAGCCTGGGCAACATGTCAAAACTTCATCCCTACAAAAAAATCAAAAAAAAAAAAAAAAAAAAAAAAGGTAACTGGGCATGGTGGTACATGCCTATAGCCCCAGCTATTTGAGAGGATGAGGTGGGAGGATCTCCTGAATTTGGGAGGCAGAGGTTGTACTGAGCTGAGATCGCGCCACTGTACTCCATCCTAGGCAACAGGGCAAGACTCTGTCTCAAAAAAAAAAAAAGGAAAGAAAATAGAGAGCTACATACATTCCCTTTTCTGGCCAGATTCTTGTCCCCCAAGGCCTTCCCATAGAGAAAAAAAATTTTTTTTTTGAGACGGGTCTCGCTCTGTCGCCCAGGCTGGAGTGCAGTGGCCGGATCTCAGCTCACTGCAAGCTCCGCCTCTCGGGTTCACGCCATTCTCCTGCCTCAGCCTCACAAGTAGCTGGGACTACAGGCGCCCGCCACCACGCCCGGCTAGTTTTTTGTATTTTTTAGTAGAGACGGGGTTTCACCGTGTTAGCCAGGATGGTCTCGATCTCGTGACCTCGTGATCCACCCGTCTCGGCCTCCCAAAGTGCTGGGATTACAGGCTTGAGCCACCGCGCCCGGCCTCCATAGAGAAATTTTACAGCTATCACAGTACAGTTCTACAACATGATCTTATGAAATTGATATGTTGGAGGAATGGTTACAAAAGAATTCTTTTGCTTACAAAGGATTTACTTTGCAGTTTTGTTTTGTTTTGTTTTGTTTTTTTGAGACGAAGTCTTGCTCTTGTCCCCCAGGCTGAAGTGCAATGGCACGATCTCGGCTCCCTGCAATCTCCGCCTCCCGGGTTCAAGCGATTCTCCTGCCTCAGTCTCCTGAGTAGCTGGGATTACAGGTGCGCGCCACCACGCCCAGCTCATTTTTTTTGTATTTTTAGTAGAGATGGGGTTTCACCATGTTGGCCAGGCTGGTCTCAAACTCCTGACCTCAGGTGATCTGCCCACTTCGGCCTCCCAAAGTGCTGGGATTACAGGCGTGAGCCACCGCGCCCAGCCTGCAGTGTTTTTAAAAAACCATTTTTTCCTCATCTATAGTTGAATTTAGAAATTTTTTAAAAAGCATGTTTTGTTTAGTACCTTCCAAATGATTTGAACTTTTCAGAAATGCATCTTCTGGGTAACTAAAATTATTTTTTGTTCCCCCCTTGTCTGACATAGATGATAATATCCTAATGCCGCACCTTACAGATAGTTGTTTGTTTGTCTCTATTTTAACAGCAACACCTCAGACTGAGCTTTGTGTGGAAGAAGTGACCTCAATCAGGAGATCAGGAGCTACCCTCATTACAACCACGTCACTCCACTTCCACTTCAGATATTTCTCATCTGTAAGTGGGGAAACAAATGATGTCACTTGCTCTAAGTAAAATAAAAAGTAATCAGGAGGACAAGTTTGAAGATGCCTGTGAAAGTATCCCTGTGGCAACGACGATGAATCTACCATCTTCCTTGGAAGAATGCACCACTGGATTGTATTTATTTCTAAATAATAGATTCTCAGATGCAATAAATCTCATTCATCCATGGTCTAAAAACAGCATGTACCATTCCCTAATGTATGGTATCCTTATGGTTGTCAAGGCCATACTGACTTTTGAGCCACATGATTTACAGATTGGAATGATGGCTGCAAAGGATGCTTTGAAAACCTGTGACAATTTCCGAAAAAAAACTAAAATGACATTGTCTCATCTAGTAAGTAGACAGGGAATAACAGCTATCACAGAAGAGGAATTGCATGCAGAAGTCTGTTATGCTGAGTGTTTGATGTTGAAATCCTTTATGTCACTTATACAGGAGGAGAGCATGCTTGCTTTTCTTAAAAGCGGGATCAGTGTTGGGTCAAGTTACCACATATACAAAGACTGTGAACAAGTATTAACACAGATCCCTGACAACCACAGCAAAGCTCACAAACACCTGGTTGGAGGTATAAAATTTGGACTTGGAGCATTCAATTTGATGTTATCACTTATGCCACCAAAGACACTTAAACTACTCAATATTATTGGATATTCTGGTGATAGAGAAGTGGGCTTGGCTTTGCTTCATGAGAGTGCATCTGAAACCCATATAAATAATATCTTAAGTCTTTTGACTCTACTCTTTTATTACAATTATGTCTATGTAGCTTTTGGTGTTGAAAAGGTTTACAATTCTGCTACAGAGGATCTCTTCCTAGTCTACCTCCAGAAATTTCCAAACTGTGTCATATTTAAATTTTTCCATGCACGTTCTAGTATGCTGAAAGGAGATTTTGAAAATGCACAGTTAAAATTACAGGAGTGCATTTTTACTCAGAATGAATGGAAGCAGGTTCATCACCTCTGTTACTGGGAATTCATGTGGTGCCACATTTTACTGCAGGATTGGAGGCAGGCTTACCACTACGCCAATCTACTGTCTCAACACAGCAGATGGTCCAAGGCAATATACGTGTACAGTAAAGCTATCACCCTGGCTTTGCTTCCTTCTGATTTTGTGAAATCAGTAAGTGAGGATATGAACTCTCTCTTCTTAAAAGTGGAAAGCCTGAAAATCAAATTTTTAGGCAGTGCTGTGCCAATAGAGAAGTTTGTTGCAGAGAAGGGTCAGCGCTATGGTACTACAACAGGCTGGTTTACAGCCCAGCCCCTTCTGGAGTTCATATATGCCTGGAGTGGTTTCCTAGTCATGAGCAAAAAGAATGAGCTTATTTCAAGCTGGCTGTCAATAATCGACAAAGGAGAAGACCTTTTACAAGAAAATCCACATAAAGTGTATGGCACAGATGACATAAGTTTATTAAATTTACTGAAAGGCCTATGCCTGAAACACTTAGGCAAATATTCAAAGGCTGAGTATTACTTTAATTGTGTCATTCAAAAGAAGAAATTATTAAAATATGACCACTATTTGGTGCCATATACTTACTATGAACTGGGAATCTTACACTATCTCAAAGGAGACTATGACAGTGCAACAAAAAACCTAGACAACGTAAGAAATTACAAAGACTATTCCATGGAAAGCCGATTACAGTTTAGGACTCACATAGCACTTGAACAAATAGCCAAAGAAAAATGACTTAAACACAAAGTGTGGTTTTGTATAGTAGAAGTGAAATATCTACAGTGAGCAAGTAATTAACAGGTAGAAAAATCATATCTTTGCAGAAAAAAATTCAAGAGGCAGCTGCCAAGAATCTGATCAGTAATGAGAAAGGAATGGGCCATGACTTTCCCTCTTTCTTTCTCATACCTATAAAATGCGATGTCTTAGAGGCAAATGAGGTGAAGCACATTCTTGAAAACGAAAAGGCAAATGATGTACATTAAAAAGAATTCTATGTTATAAATTCATCAATTATGTTAGAGAACATTTTCAAAACCTCAAAAACATTTTTAACATCTCACTAGATAATTTATACAACTCACTATGCTAGGAATCCCAGTGCCCTATACATATTTTTATTTAATTGTTTTTCTCTCGGCCTTAGTGCCATCTTCTTGGAAACCTCTGTGCCGTGAGAGCCAAGTGGAGGAAGACGCGAATGCACAGGCTGAAGTGTAAAAGAAGAAAGATGAGGCAGAAGGCCAAGTCAACCAGTAGCTTGTGTACCCAGAAACATGGAATGCCAGAGGCTGGAGATGCTGGTACAAGTTGTTGGACTGCATGCTGCTGTCTAAGTGGATCTAGAGCTTCCATCACCATCTGATCACGGATACTACCTCTGATACCCATCTTGCTTGTAACCAAAACAGCCCATGTTGGTTCTTTGCCCTGGAACTGTGACATTCTGTACTATTTCTCTGTTCCCTTGTGGCTGAGTATAACAAGCATACAATAAATCACCTCTTCTGCTGCCTTAGCTGAAGAATTAAAAAATTTTTAAAAAGACAAATTTCCAAACAATGATGCACCGAATGGCACAGACTCTGAATGATTTTCCATTATACACAATCATTTTTATTGGCTTTTTATACCAGAGGGGCTTGTCCGCCCTGGGTGATCAGTAGTATTTCTTACCCTTTTTTAGTAAGAAGCAGAATGTGAGTTTATAATTTGCCACAGAATAGAGAAGAAAGCCCTCTCCTTCTTCTACACACACATAAACTCTTTGAAGATAACTGGGAGAGGCCAAGAAGATAGATGCAGTGGCAGTCAGAGGAAAAGTTTTGTTACCACGTAATCCTCCCTTTACTTGTCCTCCTTAAGGTGTAATTCTTAATAAGACCAGCTCTTCAACATAATTAAACTGATGGCATCTATCCATTGTGAGTGGGTTAATCTGAGAGTAAATAGCAGCTGTAGGGATGGGGCTTGGTATTGTTTTACTTGCCTTAGGGTTAAAAAAAATGACCTAATTTCCAAGTCATTAAGTCTGGCTAAGTGTGTCTGCCTGGTAGTCACCCTTTGAAACAGAACTTGCGCCAGGCGCGGTGGCTCACGCCTGCAATCCCAGCACTTTGGGAGGCCAAGGCAGGTGGATCACGAGGTCAGGAGATCGAGACCATCCTGGCAAACATGGTGAAACCCCGTCTTTACTAAAAAGTACAAAAAATGAGCTAGGTGTGGTGGTGGGCGCCTGTAGTCCCAGCTACTTGGGAGGCTGAGGCAGGAGAATGGTGTTAACCCAGGAGGCAGTGCTTGCAGTGAGCGGAGATCACGCCACCGCACTCCATGCTGGGCGACAGAGGAGACTCTGTCTCAGAAAAAAAAAAAAAAAACCAAAAAAATAAAAAAAACAGAAGTTGCTAGAAAAGCGTAGCTTGCTAAAAACACATCAACGAAACATGCTACCTTAATACTTTGGGTATCCAAACAACCAACTCAGACAAGATGAGGAGTTGGTATTTCAAGATTTAGCAGTTTGCTTTTTAAAACATTTTCTTCATCAATTAAAAATAGACTTTGAAGTGAATAATTATGCTTGAGATATTCTTTATTATTTAATTAGTATGGTTATAGTGGTTAAGAGGGCAGGTTCTGGACTGATTACCTGAATTTGTATCCCAGTTCTGCCACTAACTAGCTGTGTGTGGACTTGGGCCTCTGTATCTCAGATTCCTTGGCTACAAAATAGGGATAATAATAGTATCTGTCTCGTGGTTTTGCTATGTTAAGATCGAGCTAATAAACGTTTATTACTATAATTACTACTACTACTACTACTACTACTACATTGTTCTGCAGTGGAGGGAACTTTCTTTGAAAGAGCAAAGGTCCTGTCATTACTTGCTTTGTCAATCTGAAATTTGACCTGTTAATTTACTTTTTCTGTTCTGTTTATTTTGGTCACTTATGAAACAAGAAACTCTCTGCCTAAATGTTTTTGGGTTTTGTAAAGTATTTCAACTTCTTCCAGTGAAGAGCACATTTATTAATTGCTTTTTTTTTTTTTTTTTTTTTTTGGTTCACTTTGATTAGTTCTCTCTGCTCTATTGTTTTTTGGGTTTTGTAAAGTATTTCAACTTCTTCCAGTGAAGAGCACATTTATTAATTGCTTAAACAAATATGTATTGAATGTCTACTGTATGCAGTTACTGAACAGTCCTGAGGATATAAAGTCGGTTTCTCTTCTGAGGGCCTTATTAGGGAGATAATTTAGAAAAGGATTTTGTTTGGCCAGGCACGGTGGCTCACACCTGTAATCCCAGCACTTTGGGAGGCCGAGATGGGTGAATCACTTGAGGTCAGGAGTTCGAGACCAGCCTGGCCAACATGGCGAAACTCCATCTCTACTAAAAATATAAAAATTAGCCGGGCATGGTGGCACTCGCCTGTAATCCCAGTTACTGGGGACCCTGAGGCACGAGAATCACTTGAACCAGTGAAGCGGAGGTTGCAGTGAGCCAAGATTGCACCACTGCACTTCAAAACACAGGGATTAGACGGGCATTAATTTGTCCCAAACAAAAGAAATCTGAAGGTAGGTAGTGCAGGTCTGATAGTTCATGGCTCTTTTGATTTTTCTTTTATCTTTCTACTTAGCATGTAAGCCTTCTCATGCATGTCTCCTCGTGATGGAAAGAGGCTGCCTCACCTCTAGGCCTTATGTCCAAGTCAGGCAGGCTGGAGGAAGAATGGTAAAGGGACAAAAAGATCTTTCTCCTTCCTAGGAGGTTTCGCCTTTTTTATTCCAGAAGGGATGGCCTTCTTAGAGACTTCCATGTGTATCTCATTGGCTAGATGTATTCATATGGCCAGTCCTACCTGCAAGGGAAACTGAAGATTTTTAGCTTTGAAGCCTCATAAGAAGGTTGTGTGAAATGGTTAAGTGAACCAAGCTACATACAGCAGCTGCCAAAACACATATGTCAATAACAATAAGCTACCAAGTGGTATCAAGGGACATAGTTAAAAAGGGTAGTAGGCTGGGTGCGGTGGCTCATGTCTATAATCCCAACTCTTTGGGAGGCCGAGGCGGGCAGATCACTTGAGGTCATGAGTTCGAGAAGAACTTAGCCAACATGGCAAAACTCCGTCTCTACTAAAAATACAAAAAATTAGCCGGCTGTGGTGCCGGGCACCTGTAATCCCAGCTACTTGGGAGGCTGAGGCAGGAGAATCTCTTGAACCTGGGAGGCAGAGGTTGCAGTAAGCTGAGATGGCGCCACTGCATTCCAGCGTGGGCAACAGAGCAAGACTCCATCTCAAAAAACGAAAAATACAATACAATAAAAAGGGTACTAGGTGGAATTTCCAGATAGCTGAACACATAGAGATTCCTGGAGGGTAGTGCACCCAGGGAGGACACAGATGCTCCACGTCCCGTCCCCCATATGCATTCATTTTTCTTTCTTTCTTTCTTTCTTTCTTTCTTTCTTTCTTTCTTTCTTTCTTTCTTTCTTTCTTTCTTTCTTTCTTTCTTTCTTTCTTTCTTTCTTTCTTTCTTTCTTTCTTTTGAGACAGAGTTTCACTCTGGTCGCCTAGGCTGGAGTACAATGGCATGATCTTGGTTCACTGCAACCTCTACCTCTCAGGTTCAAGTCATTCTCCCGCCTCAGTCTCTCGAGTAGTTGGGACTACAGGTGCACACCACCACGCCTGGCTCATTTTTGTATTTTCTGTAGAGATGGGGTTTCACCATGTTGGCCAGGCTGGTCTTGAACCCCTGACTGCAGGTGATCCACCCACCTCGGCCTCCCAAAGTGCTGGGGATACAAGTGTGAGTCACTGGGCCTGGCCCCCCATATACATTTCTTCATATGTATCCTTTATAATATTGTTTATAATAAACTGGTAAATGTTGGATCAGTAATTCATATAGGAGTACTGAGCTTGAAAGAATCATAAGAACTGGCCCAACATGCAGAAAAAATAGAAGCCAATGGCATTGATGTCACTGCACTTTTCTTTTCAAACCATGAAACAAAGATGCTCTAATTAATTTTCTAATGGAGGCAGCTGCTGCTACCCTTGCATTGCCATTTTATTACTATCACATTCCTGCCCTGACAGGGGTAAAGATTTTTGCTGAGAAGCTGTTTGATGAGATTCAGCGTGAGAGCCCCACTTACTTTTTTTTCTCTTCTTTTTTTTTTTGGAGACAGAGTCTGGCTCTCGCCCAAGCTGGAGTGCAGTGGCACTATCATGGCTCACTGCAACCTCTGCCTCCTGGGCTCAAGCAATCCACCCACCTCAGACTCAAGAGTAGCTGGGACTACAGGCATGTGCCTCCACACCTAGACAAAATGTTGTATTTTTTGAGGGGACGGGGTTTCACCATGTTGCCCAGGCTGGTCTGAAACTCCTGAGCTCAAGTGATCTGCCTTCCTTGGCCCTCAAACTGCTGGGATTACAGGTGTGAGTCAGTGTGGCCGGCCAAAAGCCCCACTTTGTAAAGGCTGAAATTCAGTGACACAGATCTCAGACTTCAGGCAATGTGTTGATCAGAATCGCCAGCAATAGTTGACCTTCCTGTTGTGGATGGATGAGCAACTGTTAAGTGCTCTGGTGATGGGAGCAACTGGAGCAGTGGACAGATTTATATCCACAGATTTATCAACTTTTTGGTCAAACTAGGTTTTCTAGTGTCACAGATCAAAGCCATCATGACTCTCGTCCCTGCAGCGGAAGTGCGCCTACCCCATCTTCCGCTGCAGAAAGACTCTAGGGAGTTCACTGATAGTGCTGAAGTTAAACTAAAAAGCTTGGATTTTTTTCTTTCACTGGTTTAAAAGATGGAGACTTGGAAGCCTGTAGCCAGTCTGTCCAGTCAGGGTGTGTATATTAAGACATCATCCACCCTAAATAGTGCATTCTTTTCTCAGGGACTTCTTAGAAAAACTTGAACTGAACTCTCTCCTAGCAAATGAAATCTCACATCAATCAACAGATATTTAAGTGCTTACTGTGAGTCTTAAAAAGGTTTATTTTAGGTTGGACAGGGTGGCTCATGCCTGTAATCCCAGCACTTTGGGAGGCTGCCTTTGGGAGCTGGAATTAATCAATTATAGTTATCTTGATTTCTAGTTCTTAGTCTGATTTTAAAGTTTTCTACTGGACGTGGTGGCGCACGCCTGTGGTCCCAGCTACTTGAGTGGCTGAGGTGGGAAGAACAGTTGAGCCCGGGAGTTTGAGGCTGCAAGTGAGCTATGATTATACCATTGCACTCCAGCCTGGGTGACAGTGTAAGACCCAGTCTCTCAGAAAAGTTTTCTGATTTTAAACCACTATAATGTAGTTTTTTGTGGTGGTGGTGGTGGGGAATGTAATTTCATTTTAATAAATATCCATTTGGAATCTAGGTAACACTGAGCTACAGCATTTAGATAGGTACTTTAAAACCAAATTATAACATGATTCAACTATATACAACTGTGAATGCACCAGCTCATTCGGCTTTTCAGTCTAACTTTAGAGCAGATGCTTTCAGTTTAATTGCAATGTCACTGTTTTCTCCGAATACACTGTTATAGGACGAACAGGTTTGTATGCCCACTGCACAGTAACAGATCCATTACACTGAGACAGCAGGGATGTGGCAGAGAGTTTAATGACGGCAGAGCACAGAGTGAGGAGATGAGGAGATGGGAGAAGACTTTCAAACCCATCTCTCCAAGGAGTTCTGAGCCTGGGTTTTTTATTGTGTTTTGTTTTGTTTTTTGAAACTGAGTTTCGCTCTTGTTGCCCAGGCTGGAATGCAATGGCATGATCTAGGCTCACTGCAACCTCTGCCTCCCGGGTTCAAGAGATTCTCCTGCCTCAGCCTCCTGAGTAGCTGGAATTACAGGCATCCAACACCACGCCTGGCTAATTTTTTGTA